CCTTGAAAAATATGACTGGCATAATGTCGCAGTCGTTATAATATCTAATAATATATATTATTATATTATGAGTATAGGTACCGTAAAGGTGTACTTAGTTGGTCGAAATCCCTTCGGGGTAAAAAAAAATAGMTCTTACATCGCTAACGCCATATTGATGAATTCTGCCACTGCCACACCATGTACTACATATACACAAATTATACAATATATATATATAGAGAGAGAGAGGTTGCTTTGAATAACGAGAACCGCTGAGAAAATTCAATATCGACGAATATTATGGATAGCAGTGCTGCTGATGCTGATAGTACCCATATAATGTTATATACATATAGGTAMATATAGGTATATATATATATTTCATAGTAACGTATGTATATGTAAGTAAATTGTGTAACTTTATTGTATCTTGTATATGTATCGATACGTTATACCAATGTRATTGAGGCAACAGCTGTATACATCTATACACGTATCTTGTATTTAGATATATTCTATTTGAAGTAATATTTGACTACCCTGTTACTGGAGCCTTGCATATAGACTCAATATTATTATATAACCTCTGCAATCTGCTGTCCGAAGTACTATATATAACTTACGCATTTTAATGTACACGAATCACGAATAACATTATTTATTTGTACTAAGACTGCCGGAATAATCGCGAATACACATAATACGATAAATTTGAAAAAACCCGTCAAAATTACCACTCGTCGTCATTCATTGTCATCTACTGAATAGTATCACTTCATTATTTAAATATCGATTTATCAAATACATGATGTGTATTAAATATTTTATATCATTTATATGCTCAAAGAATTGGTTAAACATAAATCATAATATGTAACATGTTTTAGTGACTTCCGGTTACTTTATACAGCATACTGCAGTAATGAGTAGTTCGATCGTGAACCCAGGGTTTTCGGAGGGCTTATGGTAAACAAAACCCCGTGAGTGAGTTTTAAATTTTGGCGTGTACCCTTTAATCCCGAAAAAATACCAAACTATTTCATTTGACACAATAATGTAGAATGTAAATAGCATATAACACAACGGCCATATGAGTGTAAAGGGTTCAATAATATGAGTGTGTGTGAGTAGAAAACTATAATACCCTTAATACTTAACTTACACAGTAAAGAAACCATTTCACATCACTCGCAAAGATTGTTTTGTTGTTGTAGTTAAAAATATATATAAATAAAAAATAATATTATTTTTCAATGTATAAACTCCTAAT